GCCCTCCTCTGGCCCCTCTCCCACAGCTCCAGGTCTGTCCTGTGCTGAGCGCTCCAGAGCTGGACGCAGGACTCCCGGGGAGGTCTCAGCAGAGCGGGCAGAGGGGCAGAATCTCCTCCCTCGCCCTGTGCCCACGCTGCTGGGGATGCAGCCCAGGGTACCATTGGCTTTCTGGGCTGCAAGCACACACCAACAGGTCATGTTGGCCTTCTCGTCAACCAACACCCTGAAGTCCTTCTCCTCAGGGCTGCTCTCAGGCTGTCCCCAGCCTGCAGTATCCCAGCTATGCCCTGCCCAGCCTTATCCAGCTCTTCCTCTGTCCCCATCCCTTGTCGCCTGCCCAGCCAGATCCCCGTGCCCATCTCTGCCCTCTCCCACCCCCAGGGTCTGCCCACAGCCCACCACCACCCCAGCCTGCGCTTGCAGGCAGAAGGGGAGGGATATCTTGGTGACCCTGGAGGACCATCTCCAGCAAGAAATCTTTAATTTCACACATCAGCCTTGAAAGCCCTTATTTCTCATACTTTGACTGCAATTGCTTAAAGCATTTTGCTGGAGGACCAGTCCTGAAGCTGAGCTGCAAAGGTTACTTCTGCTAGTGGAGAACACTGTAGATGTTTTCAGCTTCCTGCAAGAATGGGCAAGTTTCGCTCCTAATTTAACGTCTTTGTTCTGCGTTAGATGTGCTGGCAAGGCTTCAGCAGCAGCAGAGCAAAATAGCTGCTGCAGTCAGGGTAATTTTGAGACATCCTCCGAGCATGGGAACTTGCACCTTCTAATTAAGCAAGAGGAGGGGGTAAGCGGCTCTGCAAGTCGCGTTTTGTGACACATTTCATTGGCAGCTCTCAGAGCAGTTCATGTTCCTCCCAGTTTCCTGATTCCTCCTAGACACCAGGGGCAAATCTGGGAGCAAAAGGCAGTTTTCTTGGTCCGAGTCCCTAAAAAGACTCTCTTGGGGCCAAGCTCTTTTCAGTGGTGCCCAGCGACAGGACAAGGGGCAACGGGCACAAACTGAAGCAGAGGAAGTTCCGTCTGAACATGAGGAAGAACTTCTTCCCTCTGAGGGTGGCGGAGCACTGGAACAGGCTGGCCAGGGAGGGTGTGGAGGCTCCTTCTCTGGAGTTATTCAAGAACTGGCTGGACAAGGTCCGCTACAGCCTGCTGTAGGTGACCCTGCTTCGGCAGGAGGGTTGGACTAGATGACCCACAGAGGTCCCTTCCAACCCCTACCATTCTGTGATTCTGTGAATCTGTGTGTGATCTGAACTGTACCACCGGAGCACGTCTCCCACGTCAGACGGCCTCGTGTTAGCAGCATAAATCAGGAGTATCCACGACGTGTATCCATCCAATTGAGAGCACAATCAGAGAACATAATTTATACAGACGTTATCCTTAAGGAGTTTGTTTTCTGAATACTTTCTTTCTTCCCTAAGAGAATAAAACCTGTAACTTTAAACAAAGCCCTAACAGAACTTCAAATCTGCAAAAGAGATAAAAAAATCTGAACTAAAATTA